CAGTGCTTGTCAAAGCCAGTTCTGATTAATCTTCTTTGTCAGTGTGAGGAGTCAACTTTTTTAAAAAATGAAATATACTTTATTCTGTCCTCATGATTACAAGCAAGATAAGCAAAGAAGGCAAATAAAACAAACTTTTGTCACCCACTTAGCTAGATGGAGCATTATAACGTTTTTTGACATGTAGGTTGACTTATTATCTACTCAAAGGATCATAATTTCTGAACTATATTGTAATATGAAGATGGTGTTCAATGCAGCACTGTTGACGCTTTCAAATCTTAATCTGACACTTCTTGTTAAGGCAGCGCTGTAAGTCTGTTAAAGTTTGCTTCTTGACAAACCCTGGCTTCCCGCCATCTTAACTATTAAAGTATAAAAAAACAAAATTGCTTTCCCAAGTTGAGTCTCTCTTCAGAACATTGAAGAAGTTAATTCCTGAGAGAAGTCCTCACCAAATGCTTCCATAAACAGGACAGTGTCCCCCAGTGTGCCTAACAATCTTCACGGAATAAATTCAAGGGGCCAGCGAACCCTAACCATTCTGACAAGTTTATCATTATATACACACATTTAAAACTGATCTCAGACCAAGTATTGTAACCATTATCTCTAGAAATTAGTTTTAGCATATTCAGTTTCTATAAAATAATCAAAGCAACTAAGAGGAAAACCTCAAGAAGGAAGACTTCACAGCCTTAATTGACAAAATCCAATCTCCAGTTTGCTGATGACTTGAGGAGTCCATTTTCAAGGTCATGGTCAAGAAGAGCTTTCAGGCTTTTCTTTGCCATGGCCCATGAACTCCAGTCCTTCAATAGGAATCTCCTTTATTGCTTTCTGGACATACTGCTGATAGCACTTGAAGAGGTCAATGCATGGGTCCCCAAAGCCCTCCCCCTTGAGGAACTTCTCAGCAGAGGAATTAACTCTTAACTCATAGTGATGGATTTTGTGTCCCACAGTGATTAAGATTTTGGACTGTAGATTGTCAGGCCTTTCTTCCATGACTCAGACATTCAGGCTTTAAATTAGCAGCTAAGCATGTTAACCATTTATACCACCCAAAAATTTATTTTCTACTTAATTTTTTTTAATTTTGTGTGAGTGTACCGTCAAATCAGATCTGACTGGTACAGGAGGAAATTGTCCCTCCTTCCCCGGCAGAGCATCTGGTGGATTCGAACCGTGCGCCTCTGGGATTGTAGTTGCAGGTCCTTGCCACTAGGCCACCAGAGCTCCCCATCTTTTCTACTTAATATTAAATCTATCTTAATCAACTCTAAAAAGTTGAAATTGTCCCTTGATTATTGTTTTTCCTTTATTTTTGTCTCTTAATAGGTTGATATTCCTGAAGGAGGAAATGGGAAAAAAGGACCAATTTCACCTCATTCTTTTAAGTAAGTTTTATTCTCTTTTCTGTAAAATGTGAAGGCCACTGTTTTCCTTCACTGGTGCTGCTATAACAGACCACAAGTGGATGGCTTTAAATAATGAAATGTATGTTCTCACTGTTCTTTGTGTGCCTTTGAGTCAGAAGCTACTCATAGCTGACCCTTCAGCCAGTTTTTAGGGGAAGAGATTGCCCATCCTTCTCATGCAGAGTTGCTGGTAGATTGGAACTGCATGCCTTTGGGATTGCAATGGAGCTTCTTACAGGGTATCAGCTATAGGGAAGGCTTTCTATCGCTCAGTTCTGCAGGATGGTCTTTAGCTCTCTAGTCCGTGGTCCATCCTTGTGTGGCTTAACATCTGTCTTCTCCCTTCTCTGCTTTGTTCATATGCTCCTTTGTGCTGGTGGTTTCTAGACTTGATAAGGAAATCTTCCTCAAAATGATCCTTCTAGGCCAAGAGGATAAGGGCTATAGTCCCATAAGAAATTCTCCTGTCAGGCAGGTTCCTCCCTTTGGGGATGTAACTTTCTTTTTTTAAAAAAAATTTTTTTTTATTAA